TGGCATGGATTCAGACGTAGCAGATTTGACAGCTAAACATTCATACTGTGAACTCTAGTGCAGCACAACATAACAAAAATAGGTTTCAAGCTTAGTAATGCTGTTGACAGGCCTACACTACACATGTCATGTAACTTAAATAGTAACATCAGACAATGTTAGCTTAGGTGGCAGGAGTGAAAATGAGTCATCCCCAACATTTGTTGTATTATGGTTAAGTGCATAATGCTGCTGTGAATGAAAGGCAGCCCCCATGTTTTTGGTTAAGCCTCGAATGTTTAAAATGTGGTTCTCCACCCCAGATTTATAACCGTAATCTTGGAGGCAAAGGACATACAGAAAAGGGTCACAGAAACTACAATTTTAATCTTCTCCTGAAGGCTACATGACCTGACTAATAAATATGTCACTTTTGCTTTGTTAGTTTTCACACAAATTCCTACGCCTCCAGATGAATATAGCTTTATTTGCAAAAAGTAAGAATGAATAGAGGCACAACTTAACTTATGTCACTACTTCTAGCTGATTGGGGCATATCCTTGCAGCCAGGTTCCAAAATCTAGTGAAAAACCTAAAGCCAGAAGAGTGGAGGCCAGTGGCGTAAGTATTGACTGTGCATCTGGGGCCCAGCTGATTACAAGGGCCCACAAGGGTAAGCGACAATTGCCACGAGGATCATGATCAGCCATCCATTCATTCACATTACGTCGGCATTTTGAGTTGCTGTGCTTTTCTTGCTTGCTATTTGTTCTGTGGTCATTGACATACTCTGTCGCCTACTTTGTGTTGATTTGTTACTGTAAGCTGGCTAAAGCTATTTTGGTTTTGTAATAGTTGGAAAAAGCAGGTTTGAGTTGAGGGCAGGCTGTAAGATTTGCCTTTGGCACTGGGGCCGCTGTCCGTGGTGCTGATCCAACACATTCTCACTCCCGACTCATCACTTATTGACGTTTGGTCGAGGCTCTTTGGCGTCGCTTTTTTTTAACGCCCTGAGTAACCCTTTAGTGTTGTAATGTTTAGGTCTCTGCGGTCAAGTTTGCAACGCTTAGCAACAATAAATATGCAACGTCTAGTTAGACTTTCAAAATAAAACGCTAGCGTTGCAAAACATTGCACTTTTGAAACGGCATATTATTAAAGTTGTCAATTTAGTTAGGTTTAGGCACAAAAGTACTTGGCTAGGGTTAGGAAAAGATCATGGTGTGGGTTAAAATAACTACGCAAGTTAACTAACGTCACTTGCGTAACTTAAATAATTTACGTAACTTAAACAAATATATTTAATGTTGACTTTTTCTTTCACACAAGAAAACAACAGTCTCCTGGTTCATAGTCCGGGTTCTGGCCCTCCATCCACCCCAACCACCTCCTTACTTTTCTGTTAAATGTCAAATACCTACCTTTACCATCAAAAACTGGCACTACAGGGCTTCCCCCACTTTGTTGACGCTACAGGGATCCCCAGTGCGACGGGTCTAGACCTTGTTGTGCGTCTCTATGCCCCTGTGTACGCCAAAGTGCCTTTTGGGGTAAGGGGTATGGGAAAATATTTGAACATATGTAGTGTCGTTTGCTGGACCAGCACAGTATTGGACAGACTCGCATTGCCATCTGTTAGCCTCTGCCTCTAGCTAGACAAAAGCATTGACCACCGAAGCATCTGACAGAGAGAGACAAAAACTAGCCATTAGCTTCACTGAACAAAGCACAAACCTGACAGAAAACTTTTACCGTGTGTGTCAGATAACAGATAGTTTCAGACACACATGTATAAACACACACACTGAGACAGAAGGGCAAGAAAACACCAATAGCTGCAAAATTAATGGCTCGTGTGATAGCCAATCAAACGTTTGGCAGGCCGTGTCAATAGCCAATCAAACAGCTGGCGGGGTGAATGTTGACGAGCAGGACGTCTGTCAGTGTCACCTTGGTGCAACGGCAGGGGAAGCCCTGGCCTTCAATACACGACTCAACACAGTTCAATATCACAAGCAGAAAACACGTTTCATTGGTTGGTTGGCAGAAGGATTCTGAGCTAACGGGTGATGGAAAAAAATTGAGTACGGTCAAAGTTTGACATTTACAATTTATTAGATTTAGATTTCATTTTTCTACGCAAACAATCACACAATCAAAATTTGGTAGTGTGTGGCACAAACACACAGCATCCGTGCACTTTCTGCCATGTGTAAATGCAGGACTCCGAGCAGATCTTCCAGGCCAAGCATATCTGGTACCTACACCGGATGTACTCTAAACAAATGTGGGTACATACGGCAGAAGAACACTTCTGCATATATTGGTCTGTGCAGGCTGGATATGGTCCAGAGAGGGCGCCACAAGGACCGTAGACCCAGAGGCCAATTTATACTACGGCTACGTGCCGTCATGAGCATTTATACTTGTGCCTTGGTGTTAGCGTCGCTCTGCAATTACACCACCAAAATGCTAGTTGGCAGTGGGGTTTCTTTGTCCCACTCTCTTCCGTTCTTTTACTGCTGTTTAGCCACTGATGTTGTTAGCGTAGTCTACTACAAACAATGGTGACTGAAACTGAGTGCTTCGTGTTGGGTTTGATCAATGAAACATTGAAAAGTTTTAACTTAAATAAGGAGACAGCTGTATGTGTGTCAACATTGAACATTACGTTGCGGCAGTGGTGCTACTATGACGACATGCTACATTGAAGGATGCTACCTCTGGGCACTATCTGCAATGGAAAACGGAGCACGGCCAAACCGAGTCGAGTCGAGGCTGGGCGAGTTGAGCTGGTACTGGTAATGGAAAAACAACAGAAGTTACATTTTTGAGGAGGTGTGTGTCAGGCTACGGCGTAGGTTACGCAACTACACGTAGGTTACGGCGTATATATGGCGTAGATTCGGCGCAGTATATTGGTCTTTCGGTGTCAGTTATAGCGTGACAGTGCACATACATTCATACATTGTTGGCAGCACACAGACGTGGACGACATTTGCTCTATGGGCCACATATTCTCCATCACGGTCATAGACATAGACGGTGGACACACATGCTTATACAATCCAAAATATGATGAATTTTAAGCACAACTTTCCACACCCACTAATTTATGTCATATGGTAAGGACTAGGGATGGGGATTGGGATATTGATATTGATACCCTTATTGAGACTGCTTAATGATCTGATTTTTTATCGATACCACTATCGATACTTTACTATTATTTGGGGACGGTTATTTGGTAAGCCCAGACCAAACAGGCATGAGGTAGCTTAGTCCTGCACGCTATGAGCAAAATATTTAATGTGCGATAACATTGTTATATGTTGAGATGACATATCACTTGCGATAAATAAACAAATATTGAAGGGTGCATCGTAACTGCCTGGTTGTTTTTAAATTAATTATAGGATTAGACTCAGACAGTAGTCTGTATCAGTCCAGACAGAGAGCAGCAGAGGCTGCAGCCTCATGATAAACAGTCCCAGGCTGTTGAATACTACGTTTCAGTGCTATCATTAAAAAAACATTAGCTTTTTTATCCTTTGCGATTCACGTTAAACCAGATTTGGCGCTCGAGACACAACGTTACATTATAGGACCTGCTAGTCTCGTTAGCAGTATCGATAAGCTTGGACCTTATTGATTTTCGGGTTTTAAGAAATTTTGGAACCGGGTCTCAATCCCCATCCCCAGTAAGGACGGTAGAAATGTGAAAGATTCTCAAGTGACAACGTAATAAGATGGTTGTATGATTACAGACTTGGGTATTTGAGGATTAAAATACTGTGCGCTTAGAATTTTAAACACACAAATACATTGAAACGGCCACCTTTTGCTGACATGAGGCCACTTCCACATTTGTTTGGTTTAAGCACTTCCATATTAAGTGCCAAGTCGGGTTAGAAACACAAAATCCGGTTTGTAATTAAAACTTGGACGCTATGTACAAATCAGAAACTCGCAATTGCGGCAACTTTGATATTCCATGAACATAGCACTCGCTACAAGGGTTTACATGATGTACATTTCATCATCTGCCTGTCCAAAGTAAGGCTGAAACGTGCATCTCCAGCTGCAAACACGCATGGAGGATTTTCAATGTTTTATTATACTTTTATATCCAGCTATCATTTTAATGTTTGTTTGAAACCCAACTCACAGAGGTTCGTACCATGACAGGTGTGTGCGCCGGCTCTTTTTTGCGATTCCCCTAGGCAGAAATTTCAACAAAATTGAACAAAAAGAAATGACAAAACACACTGTTTGTTGAAGGGCGTGCCCTTCAGATTGACGTGTCGATGCCCGACAGTCACCAGAAAAATAACCATTTAAGTCATTTGTACAACCACATTATTGTAACCCATGTTGAGTACAAACTTAAATAACGTTAGTGACTTCCATTACGTGACTTATGTAATTTACTTAATTAATTTACTTACTTTACTTTACTTTAATCCAAACCACAATGTTTTCCTAAACCTAACCAAGTCGTTTTTGTTGCCTGAACTTAACCAAATGTGAGTGTTTCATAACATTAATCTTGTGTATTATGTGACTTACGTTACATAGTTAAAGTCCAGTTGCCCGGTAGCTTGTCGCTGGACCAGTATGGGAAATGATCTGTTTTGTTCTTTAGGTTGCCCCTTTCAGCAGGACAACATTTTATGATCTTACACCGCAATAGCTACGGTTTGGTTAGGCTTACGCACAAAACACGACTTGGTTAAGGTTAAAGAAGCACTGTGGTTTGAGTTAAAATTAGAGGACCAATAAAAACCACGTTGTTAAGGATTGTGGTCTAAAGAAACCAACACTGACTGGCGTTAGGAAACAAGAAAAACAAACTGTGGCAAAGAACAACAATTTATTGATCCTTCCCTACGTGGACTTCCTTCTTTGCTCTCAATGGATGAGCTTGATGATTTCTACAGCTGCTAGAGGGCTACACAAGTTGAAAAGAGCATACATGTACATGCGGCCTTGTTATGGGCACAACACCTGAAATGCAGGAGCTCAGCGCAAATGAGGGACTGTGATAAAAAACTAAATTGGAGAAAGGCATCAACCAGCCCTGGTCTCCCCTATTCATTACTTTCCACCTCTGCAGGAGACAAATCAGCATGTGTCCGTTTGTGTGTGTGTGATAGAGATTCAGTGCCTCAGTTGTCTTTCATCATCAATTTCCTTTTGTCTGGTTTGGAATATATCCAGAGAGAATGGAAAAGAATAGAGTTGGGTGGGTGTAGCTTTCACCCCCCCACTCCCCCTCTCTCTCAGCCAGCGCGTGCCTCTTGGTCGGAGCCGCAGCAGCAGTTTGTGCTCAAACAAGAGCGCACACCGGACGCGCGGGCTCACATACAGAACGGGCTGCACGGGACTCTTCCTCAGCACCACCATCATCATCCTCCTCCTCCTCCTCCTCCTCGGTGGATGGAGGGATGGTAGCAGGAGAGCTTCATCATCACCGTGCATCACCGTCATCATCACCACCAACATCATCGCCGGGAGCGGAGGGAGAGAGGAGCAGCCGCTCTCACTGGGCTAAAAAGTTAAGGAGGATCATAGGGTTTAAAAACGGAGCACCGGAGGGGCTCGTGCCCGGCTTTAACCCGGGATAATCCGCCTGACACGGCTGATTTCTACTTTGGACTCCATGGGAACGGATCCGGTGCTTCTGAGGGGATTTATTGTGTATTTAACGGATCACTCTCGGCGCTTTCAAGGATCGGTTTCCAAAAGGTCCCCGGTACTGAAACTGATCCCCGGTGTGTTTTAACGAATCTCTGACGTTACAAAGGGATCCACAGTTTGTATTTTAACGGGTTCCCGGTTTTGAAATCAGTCACTTGAACTGATCTCTGACATTTAGTTGTAACAGTGGTTAAACGGATCCATGACGGATTTCTGACGGTCAGGCGCCAACTCCGGTCATTTCCACAACGGATTTCTCTGTGTTTAAACTGACGTCTGAGGTGTTTTAACCGATTTCTGACGTTAGTGTAACGGATCCCCGGACAGTCCCGGGTGGACTTGACGGTGTACTAACCGACTGTAACCTCAGCATATAATAAAGAACAAGAATAAACGCAGGTGAAAAGCAGGCGCTCATCGCCGAGTTCAGAGGAAAATAACGGGGTTTAACGGGAAAAGCGCGCTTCTTCTCAGCACTGAAGTAAGTCTGCCCAATAACGGGCCACCACCGGGGAGGTTCCCCAGAACCCGAGGAACCGACCGCCGGTAGAAACGGAACCCGGCGCTCTTCGATTCCCAACGGGGGCGAGAGAAGAGAAGTTACCGGAGGACCGGAGGAGTTGATCCGGATCAGGCTAAATTCTCACGGACTGTTGATGATCGGACAACTGTCGTCATTACTAGCAGAGTGACCTCATTAGGGGACAGGATTGATTGTGAACGGATAAAAAAAAAAAACCACGCCTGCTCTTCCTCAGATTGGAATCCTTAATCCGGGGTATCAATCATTTGCAATCTTTTTTTTTTTTTTCATACATCAGCCTCGTGAGCTGTAACGCGGGGATCGTTTAGACCCCGTGGAGGACCCGAGTGAATTACCTCCTCCACGGTGAAATAACTCCACATGCTGGCTGTAAATTATCCACTTAACCCCCTCAAGAGAGAAAAAGGGAGAGAGACATATAGACAGACTGCAGTGAGAGAGTTATTCCCTTTATTAAACGCCACCTTTTTGGTGATGAACTACAAGCTTTTAAAACGGCAGTGAAATCTCATTTAACTTTAAATCTGCCAAACAGAGAGGCATACAGAGATGGGCTACTTAATCTTCGAATCTAAATCAAATTTATCATCCCTGTAATATTTTTACAGGGCCATTTAGAAAATTCATCATTACAAGACAATACATGTCTTTGTTTTAGCGAAAATCTGTGGGACAAAATTAGGAAAATGCGGTGACTTTTTGACATAGCTTAACTCCAACAAACTGTGCCAAAACATATACATAATATTGAATGTTTATTGTTATAAAATATAATGTAAAATATTGGCTGATTATTTGTTGACCTCGTTTTGAGGTTAAAAACAAAGAGTCAAATGTAAAACTGAAATGTAATCATAATAATCTTATACCAGTGCATCTGTGGCTTCTAATACTGACCTTAATGTTCTGTAAGGTTTTTCATCTCCCACTGTGTCATAATAATAATACCATAATTGTCCGATAGGGGTTTATTTATGCTTCATTGCAAGTCTGGAAGAGCTTTAACTCAAAAGAAATTAACTTTATAACAACCTGGGGACAATAACCCCCCGCTTTAAATCTCCTGTGGTAGTTTTAGCTGTGCTTTAGAATCTTCACTTGGACTCGTGTAGATCAAGTGACCGTTTCTGAAGTTCAAGATGAGGCTTGAAGTGATTTTAATGCACACTCTGTGAGCAAATCCAGCTAAATTGTGATTTCAGCTGATTTCCCAACACACAGGGTCTTAACGAGGCTTTTTTTTTCAGCCTAACACATTAATCTGTGGTGGTTTAGAGTTTAATTTACAGCTGATTTCCAGTGAAAGTCTATGGATGGTACGCTCACTGTATAGCCACATCCTCAACAGCATTCCTCCTCCTCCTCCTCCTCCTCCCCCTCAGCCTCCTAGAACTTGAAATGTAGCCATGCAGCATTGATTTTTTTTTCCACACCGCAAAACCAAAACGCACACGACCATCTAATCCTTTCTGGTGTGTCAGTTCTGTTGCCTGAAATGTAAGACGTGCCGCGGTGTTGATTTTCCAGCTCCAGTCAGAGCTGAAGGACATTCATACCGGTCCAGCAGCAGCGAGGTCAGAGTTCAGGTTTGCAGAAATATAACTGCTGGAGTTTTAGAACTGGAGGAGTGAAAGCCTGATACTGGAATCTTGGGGAAGATCAAAACACACGGACGGTCATTTTCCACATTAAATCATCTGTAAACAAGCTGGAATCTGCCCTGAGCATAAATGAATATTTTTCTCAGTCAGAACCCGTTTTTGACCCTAAACCTTGAGGACAATTCTTTGCCATCAGAGTGACACTTTTAGCTAAATGGGACTTAACGACAGCAGCCCGGGCGCCATGCGGAATGGCCGAGCCCTCTCGGACCAGTGGGCAGAGTCAGTGGTGGTCCGGCCTCGAACCACAGAGCGCCACATCACGGTACACAAACGACTGGTGCTGGGCTTTGCGCTGTCCATCCTCACCCTCATCATAGTCACGGCGGTGGCTGTGGCGCTCAGCATCCGCTTCGAGGAGTGTGGCGGACGAGATCGTGACGGAGCGACGGGGGAGTCCGGTTCTCGAGGCAGCGGAGGGTCATCAAAGTTGAATGGAAGCAGAGGAGAGAGGGCGGGGGAGAGGGGAGATGAGGAGGCGGTCCAGCCATGGAGGAACTCGCGGTTGCCGGGTTCAGTGAGGCCGCGGCACTACGACCTGCGGCTCGCAGTCTACATGGACAACTTCACCTTCTCTGGAGAGGTCAGCATCGAGCTGGAGTGCATCAACGCCACCCGATTCATCGTGCTGCACGTTGACCGCCTTGAGGTATGGTGGCCTGTATGAGGCAGAAATCTATGTCAGGAACTTGGTAAACATGAATAATCATTGACAAGATGTGCAAGCTCATAGTGATGCCTGTGACACTCCAATGTCTGCCATCTCAGCTTGCCGACAGAAGATGCACACAAATACTGTAAAATCCTTCATGACCTGATAGAAACCACAAAATTTACCTAGGCAATCTTTGTGAAAGTTAGTTCTGGGAGTTTGGTTACATTGCAACTACTTACAGGTTGTGTTTCATTCAAGGTAAAATAGATAAGAAGATGAAAGTTACAGTGATGTTGTGGGGTGGGGTTGTAGACATGCTAAAACCTCAGTTTTTGAGTTTCCGTTTGGCACTGTCATCGCCAATTGGATATGGAGTTAATTTTGTTTCAGTATTATTTGTGTGAACAGATGAGCGATTGGTGTGTAAATGTGTAAAAATAAAACACTTTACACAATTACAAAATTAAGATTTGTAAACCCACAAAATATTTTGCTAATATAAAACAGATCTGCAAATACACAAACAAATTCCATATTAGTAAATAATTTACGGATAAATTAACCACATTTGTGAATATCTTCGTGACATTTGAAACTTTCAAACAGACGTTTGTGAGTCCAGCTTGTATTTGTCGATCTCATTCTTCACTCTTAGAGTTTTGAAACAAACTTTCCGCTAGTTGAAAGAAAATCAACTCGTGTCATTTGGCTGTTTTCGGAGACATTACATTTATTCATTTAGCTGACGCTTTTATCCAAAGCGACTTATAATTGGATATAACACCTCTGGAGCAGCTAGGGGTTAAGTGTCTTGCTCAGGGACACAACGGTGGATGGTCGCAGCAGGGAATTGAACCCGGGTCTCTCACACCAAAGGCATCTGTCTTATCCACTGCGCCGTCACCACGTGATGTTGCCTGCTGACAACGTCATTTCTGCATTTCTGAGTACAGCAGAGCTGCCTGAAAGCGCTAGCTTGCTGCTGTCGCTAAGGCAATATCGGCTCCTCTCAACTAAACGTGAATGCAGACTGAAATTCAAGCGTGGTGTTGTGTCGAGAGGGGCAGCAATTTAAACATGACACAGTAGTAAACCTAAAATTAAAATCTCCTAAGTGCAGCAGGAAGGCCTTTTGATCTCTTAAATCCGAAGGATGAATGTGTTCAGTAGATTTAATGGGTATCTCCACATTAGATTTTCATATTTCTTATGTACAGATGAAAAATTATCAGGAATTCTCCTCTGGAATCCATGAGTATCCACGGTAAATTACTGGAAATCTTGTCGGGATAGAAACCATATTCCCAACCTCCCGGCCCTTAATGACACTGTGATCACACGCAGGGCACTTACCACGGCACACAACCCCGCCACCCCCTGAACTCATGCTTCATTTTACTCCCATCCGAACGCAGAGGCAGACCTATGATCTGTAAGAAATCACGCTACAGTAAGAGCTTTGTGCCCTCTCCCATCACTGCACTTAACAAACTGTTAAGTGCTCAAGTTCATCTATAATCATGTTACCGTACTGTGTTCCATTTTTTCTATGTTGTTGTGTTTGTTCACTGTTCCTTAATTGTTCTTAGATGCATATTGACTGTGGAAACAAATTTCCTCTAACGGAGGACTATCTGTCTGTCTGTCTGTCTGTAAGCATTGGTTTTGCAGGACCACAGATATTGAGGTCTGGGGTAAAACAGGGTTAAACCTGGTTGAAACCTAAAAGTTTTATAGATTTGTGGCTGACCTATAGTAACCATAGAAATCATTACAGCACTCCAATGTTCAGTTAAGACTTGAAATGTCACTGAAACAACAGATGGATGTAACCTAGCCATCCAAAATAAATGTTTTAACCCGGACGTATCTTGAATGGTAAATCTGTTCGAACCGGCTGGTGTAGAAGAAAAAGTGGGGTGGAAAAGTTGCAGACGTACTGAAAAAGGATGGTGCCTTTTATGTTTAGGGGGAAAAAAAGTTGGATGACGTTCAGATGACGCTCGTGTTCTGGATGTTGTTGCTTCCCATCACCAAATGACTCTCCCTCCCCCAACCGCTGAATTTCTAGTAGTGAACCAAAATAGCCTGTTTTGGAATCGCTGGATGTTCTTATTCAGTAAGTGTAATGTTGGTGTTGTTGCTGTAGTACATATTAGCTGCAGAGAAGTCTGTCACTCACGACCAATGATTCTGTTGCGAACTAAGCTCCATACCTGCTCTAAACCCTGCCCCCTTTCCTCTGTCATCTGATCATGATTTCTGTACCATAAAACAAAGTTAGAGACAGTTTGATAACTTTCCTGATGAATCTTTCCAAACAAAGCTTGTTGTTTGCATCCGGAGGTCTGCTTTCTGTGTTGGAAAACAAACCCGCTCTCTAACAAAGAATGTTTATTTCCAGACTTGGCCTCAGAGATTTCCTTAACGAGGCTAATTAACCATCAAAGTTGCTGTTTCAGCCGAATTTTTTGAGCCAAACGCGTGGCGAGAGAGAGCCTCAGAGAAACGCCTGAGCAACGTGATTTTTCAGGCTGGTCATCTCGGCTAATGTGAGAGAGAAGATAAATCTGTCTAATTTGGGCAGAGGCCAATTAAAAACCCTGCAGCCCTTTTTGTGTTCAAGTGTGAGCACACATTAAGAGGTGTTGTTGGGCCCCAGACAGGTCTCCTAAGGTACCCTCAAGAGACGGTGCATTATGAAAAGAAAAATGGTCAAGATGTGAAAAGGCCAGAACACACACACGTGGATAAAAATAAAATGTTATACCTGCTGGTAGAGTGCTGTTTTCTCTGTCAAAGAAATGTCACAAGTACAAAATGCATTCAGCATTCAACAAAACCAAAATAGAAAAGTGCTTTACATTTTATTACATGAGCTACACATTCTTAACAATTCCATGCTCCGTTAAACAAAGCATCATTTCTTTGACTGATTTTCTGCACCCTAGGTGACGATTGGTTTCTGTTTAGGCCAATGAAAATTAACTTGTAGGAACTTCAAGTCACATGACTTATCGACATTAATAAAGACGCATTATTCCAACAGGAAGTCGGGCCGTTGAAGCGTCTGACAGGGATGAGTTCAGCTGAGAAATCAAACCAATGAACAAACAAGCAACGCAATTAAAAGGCATTTTGGTTGAGGGGAACCTTTGAAGGCATCACAAAACGGGCTGCTGCGTTCGCTGACTCACCAGAAAACCCTGAAAAACATCCTTTTAATCCCCAACGTTTCCTCCCAGTCAGCAGACTCTGCTCGTATCGATCAGCTCATTCATCAAAGACCAAACACACATTCACACAAACAGACACAGACGAACACACTCAGTGTTTGATCGGATCGTTGATGTGTGTTAGCGAAGAGACCCGACAGTTCCCACTATTGCCTTGCACGTTCCCATCATGCACTGCTGCTAATGTCAAAGGGTAGATCCCTCAGTGTCTTGATCGTCTCTGTTTCTGCTCAATGGTTTTTCCAGATCTCTTTGCTGGCATTGTGATGCATAGGGAACACTTTAGGGCAATTTCAGGGTAGAATTTGCTGGCAATCCAAGAAGACTAACTCAGAAGCGAGTAAATGGGGCATGATTTACTGACACATAGAGCATGGGTGCACCTGTTCAGTGCAGAAAGTGACCAAAACCATAGGCACTTCCTTGAGAAATAGTCTAAGTTGCTAACCAGACAATGAATTAAGAGTTAGTTCTAGCAAACGTAATTTTCGATCCACTGCTTTCGCACCACTGCCACCTCTTTTTGAGTGTAGATTATACTCTGCCAGAGCAAGGTAGGATAAAATTTTAATGACGTGGCCTCAAAAGTTGAGATGTATTTATTGAACACATTTCTTGTAGCCGACTTTTTTAAAATTATGGAACACCCACAGGTGTTTTCACTTGTTTTACCTGATTAGAGGTCTTCTCAGGACTGCGTGGGTGGGTACAGACCCTGCTTGACTGACATATCTCTCATTTTCAGGGATGTTGCACCTGTTTGAGTGAGTTGATGATTTTCTACACTTTGATGAGTTTGGTGACATTTCATTTAATTACCATTAAATTACCATATACTAACCTATCATCAGCATGAGCTCAGGTCAGAGTAAAAGAACACACCTGTCTTCAATGAGTGAAGTGCTCTTTCTTCTGAAAGTTCTCCTCAGTCACAGACTGTCTGTGTTTGACTCTGCAGCCTCAGAATGAAATATTGAGGAACTTTGGTGAGCTGGCTGATAAACAAACACACTGAGTTCTTTCTTTCTTTCTTCCTAAATTAAAACTGTCCCATAGCCTTTTCAACCTACCTGCAACCTCACACACACCATTTGTTGTACCTGCGGTCACTGTCATGTCACCATGACGACAGATCCAGCAGTCCCAAACAACAGCTGGCATTGAATCAGGTGTTGCATAGCAACGGATTTCATCAGACAAACTGGAAAGGCTCTGAAACTGCTGCAAATCGGTGCATTTTAGGAGCAGTGTCACACTGTCGCGCAGTTGTACCTGAACGGCAGAGGCCGCTGTTCATTAGTGGAGCTGTGTGACAGCAATTTAAAACATTTGAGTTAGAGAGCCATGCGGAAGTGCCTTAAACCTGCATTCTTTCGGCCAGCAGGGGGCAACTGCTGTAGTTGCAAAATGAGTTGAAATTGTATTGCAGTCAATGGCAAAATGAGGCTACTTCTCACCCAATTTATTACCTCAGTAAAGACTTTCCTAATGAGTTTATGGTGTCAAACGTTACTTTTAAGTCTTCTTCAATATATTTACATTTGGTGATGGAGCAGTGGATAAGACACATGCCCTTGGTGTGAAAGACCGAGGTTTGATTCCCAATACGGACATTATCACCAATGTGTCCCTGAGCAAGACACTTAACCCCTTGTTACTCCAGAGGCGTGCGACCTCTGACATACATAGCAATTGTAAATTGATTTGGATAAAAGCGTCCACTTAATAAATAAATCTACATTTACTCATTTGGCAGACACTTTTATCCAAAGCAGCTTACATTTGAGGAACAACATGCAAGTATCAATAAAAGCATAAATACAGTAAGAAATCTACAAGTGACAATAGATACTAGTAAGAGGTATTCACACATGTGGCATCAATGGGGTAGCGCAGTGGCCGAGAAGGAATGTAATCTTGTATTATGGAGTTTAGATAGATGGGTGCAGATCCAGTAATCACACGTTAGTGACTTGAATTTGATTCAGGAGGTCATGGGGAGCCAGTGGAGGTCGCTGAGTAATTGATTGACATGAGTCCCAATACAGCATGATGTTTAGTTAGTAAATTATGGTCCAATTTAGAGGAAAATAGAGGATAAAGCAGGGTGTGCTTTAGGGCTTGGCTACCTTGTGAATCACAAATCGCTACCATGTCGGCCTGTCAATCAGGATAGAGGCGAATCGTATCCAGTGCACTGTGTACAAGCGAGACTGAGATTGAAGCGGCTCTACAGGTTGTTGACAACTTACAGATATAGCTTTGTTTTCACCAGGTAGTTTTTAATTTACTATAAAGTTTCATCATTCATTGATTCTGCCTCTTCTTCCTCCTCCCTTCAGGTGGACCGAGTGTCCGTAACAGCCGAGGGAGGCACCGGTGGTCGTCCCGTCAACAGGCCCGGTGGTGGAGCCATGCGCATCCACCGCCACTTCCCCTACCCGGCCAATCAGATGTACGTCGTGGTGCTGCACCGCGAGCTGAAGCCAATGAGAGTTTACCGCCTGAACGTGAGCTTCGACGCCGCCATCGAGGATGAGCTGCTGGGCTTCTTCAGGAGCTCGTACACCCTGCAGAGAGAGAGACGGTACACACACACACACACACACACACACACACACACACACACACGTACTGGAACACATACACTGAAACACACTCATTTTTCCTGCAGCAGCAGGTGGTTCGACTAGAAAAGGTCAGCGCTTCACAGCCACGACATTGATTAACTCACACATGCCACTCTGTGTGCGTGTTTGATTGTGTGTTCCACACACACACACACACACACACACATAAACACACACACCACTCACTCCCTCCTTATGAATTTCCCATAAGCCTCTGCTGCAGAGTTTTTTCCACATCAGATTTCTTCCCCACAGTGCTGATGGGAAACAGACTGTGTGCTGATACGTTTATTATTTCATGCATGAGTTTGTGTCTGTGTGGCCTCGGTGTGTGTGTGTGTGTGTGTGTGTTACCACAGCGACAGAACATTTTATCGTCTGTTCCACTTATTGCATAAAAACAAAGTTGTAGTCAATTGATGAAATCAGAAGTGCTCACTTGTGATTGGATAGAGGAGTAAACTCAGGACCGTAGAAGGACTCATTAAACATACAGTCATTTCTCTGTATTATTCAATGGTTATTACTAGTTTTTGGTACTTTTCTGGAAGTAGTAGTGGGGTAAATGGACTTCCAACGATTTTTATGTTTTACATGATGAATTCAAAAGCAAATTCAAAGCAAAACCTCCTAAAATACAAATAATATATCTGCTGAGTAGGGATGTCACTATACCAGAAAAATTCCACAATTCACGATATCCAATCCGATAACACAGTAAAAAAATAAATACATAAATCCCACGTACACTCCTTTAATAAAACTAAAAGCTGTGAAAATTGTGTGAGGATGTCCAGGACAAATGAGATAGAGTTTGACGTTATTGAAAACGATTACTGTCATGTCTCTTGTGACATCCCTTCTGTCCTCACGCCGTCACAAATTTGGTTTTAATTTTAAAATGATAATTAAACTAATTAAAGTTTTTCTTTAAGATTTGAGTCCTGGTTGATTTGGTAAGAAATCGTGGCCACCCTGGCAACAGCAAGTGTGTTTTGATGCTACAGCAAACACTCTTTGAGGTTACGTGAAAATCAAGGAGATCAAGGAGTCTTTTTAGTTTCATAATGAATGAAATAGATGTGTGTCGTCAGCAGGGATGGAAATTAACACCCGCCACCTGCCAAATGCGGGTGGATTTTCCGTTTGGCGGCCAAATGTTGTAAGGTTACCCTATGTGGTGGGTAAATATATTCGGCATATAATTTCTCTTTGATGGTAATTAGCAGCAGACCAGCGTTCTTGTTGGTTGTGTGTCGCACATAAATTGGTCCCCGGTGTACAAAGCTATCTAAAATCATGTAACTCACGGATTAGAGGTATTCATTGGTTGTTGTTTGTTCTTTTCATGTTACTTGTGTTTGATTGGCGTAGATTTGTAAGGTGTTTTTTTTATCTATCAGCCACCTTAGCAGGTGAGCCAAAAGGTTAATTTCCACCCCTGGTTGTCAGCAAAAATGATGAAATTTACAGATATGTTTTGGGAACCTAATTCTACTGGTGAAAATAGTGAAGCAATAGGCTATACTACTAAAATACTCAAAGATCTTTACTGAAAAAAAGACTGAGAACAATTCAACCATGTCAGAGATCCATTTTCTGATCAACCCTCCACATAAACTGATGCCATCGAACTGTACAGAGCCAGAGAGCGATGCCTCTGACAGATCGATGAACAGAGCAGGACAATCGCTGCTGTTTCTCCAGTTCAGAATGTCCGCCGCACACACAGGAGGCAGATAGTGATGACTGATAGCAGCAACGTGCAGCAACATCGTGTGAGGTGGAACTGAAATAGTCATAAGTGTATTTAAAGGGAAGAGTGTGCAGAGTGTCATTTTCTAATTCAGGAAATTAAAATGTGCACGCATTTTTGGACATTTTGGATACTTTTGATAGATTTACTTTGTTTTTTATAAATGATATTAGTTGCTATAATACACATTCTCTTGTGTTTTATTGTATTAAAGCAATAGTTTTTTAGTCATTTAGAATGATACTGCATGATAAAGTTGTGGTTAAAGCTTTTGACTGATCTGCTGGAAAACAATATTCACACTGTGACTCTTTCTTTAAGACCTATTAAAATCCTGTTAAAAAGCCTACAAAAGGACAAACACAAAAACTCAATACATATTAAACCAGGCATCCGAGACAGATTATTTAAATTGACTGTTTCTTTTATATTAACGTGGCTTTTTTTTTGCAGAATTTATTCCTTCATTGGCTTCCTCGGATTTAGATCATTCTTGTTTAATTATAGGAAGGACATTTTAGCCTTTTGTGATTATACAATGTCTCCAGCAGCAGTTTTAATCAGCTGCTGATAAAGTACGGAAGCTGTTAGAAGCAAAATAATGGCATGATGTTTAATGTGTGCACTTTGACGTAAAGATTGGCCAAATAAAATAATAAAAGGTATAGACAGAACGCTCCTCACCATTCAAGTTTGGTCTCTGTATGTTTTCACCACCAGTGGTCCCATATTCACTGGCAGCTGCTGTTCGGATCAATATTGGATCAATACAGCAGCTGATGGACCAGCAGAGCTCCATCACAACACAACATACCTGTTAGTTAAAGTTTAATGATGCAGTTGACAGAAACCTGGTTACTGTCGACGTTGTGCGCTAACATGATTTCTGAAACGCCACGTAAAAGAGAAACCCAGTTTTCTAAGAGAGGGAGAGGTATAAGAAAAACAACATTAGCATTGACTTTGTTTTGACTTGTGAGTACGTGCATGACAAGAATGTGCAAGAATTCGTCAAGGACAGTGCTCCTGGGAGAGTCATGAGGACGGGTGAAATTATTCGTATTAATGGCTGAAATAAATATTTGAGTAAGTCAGTTTGCAGACACGTAGCAAGAAGAACAAAAGTGTGACTAACACCCTTTAAAGGTGCCAGTCTTCATAAATATGTTAATCTGATGACTAAGCAGCAAAGCAAAAAGACACATGGTAAAAATCACAGCTGATTATTTAAACAAATAATAATAATTTATTCAGAAACAAGCTTCAAAATGTCAGATTTGTACAACGTCGGTGAGACTGAGTGTGTGTGTGTACAGAGCTCACTGTTAGTTTAAGGATTAGCTTGATGCAGCAGTGTGGCTAATGCTAACACACACACAGAAACACACACGTTGCACTGAGATTTGCTAAATATCCAGAGTTACTATAAACCCCTGGCTGGGCTTAAAACGCTTAAATGCTGGGAGGGGGGAAATTAATTAGCACACTTACACTCACACACATTATCACTGTTTAAGCTTAGTATTGATCTTTATGTAAATTATGTAAAATATGACGTTGCGATTGCTGTCGTCTCCCAGTGAAACCAGTTTAAAAAGGTCCAGTCTCTGCAGCAGCTTCTGTGCAGTCTCGACTGACCTGCTGTCTGCTGCTCACATGATATCACAACCAGATAAAAACCGTCACATCAATACTCAGCTAATGTATAGGAAACTGCAGCAGGGTAGGGATTGTGCTTTTCCACACAGTCAGATTCAGTGGACTATTTTTAGCTCTTTCAAACTTATTAAACTGTATTCAGATAGGATGACCATATCCTTAAAAATTACGTCCGGCAGGGATTTCTAAATTGCTCAGAATGTCTGGGATACAGCTTTTGCTTTCTTTTTTTTTTTACAAATTAAAATTCAAACAAGTCATACTGCTTTTTAAAGCAGCTTTTGCTTTCTACAGTCGTCATTCATTGTGTGCGTTTTTGCAATGCTTTGACCACACGCCACCATTGGTCAGTCATGTAAACGCCCTTCATACAAACGTTGGTCAAACTGCAGCTCAGTCATTCCCCACAGCAACAGCCAAGAGACAGAGCAGAGCAGCTTGCTTGTCAACAGTGGCACGTGTGGCGCCTGGACAGCGTAAAATCACCCAAATGTAAATTCACAGATGAGTTAAAGAAAAAATGAATGTGTTTCCATCTCGGTCGGGATCCGTGTGAAGCAGAATGCATGAACTGCAAAGCAGTCAGTGTAAGTGTGAAATAGTCGTGTGGTTGTGAAAGACCGCCTTATAATGGTTTTTAGACTCTAACGCCATGGAAGCATGAAAAGTAAAATGTTTGTAATTTGCTCCTCATCAAAGCTGCTGCGGTCAGCCTCATTGTCAGTTACAATGGAGTCCAAAAGTGACAAGTTTACTGCGGAAGAAGTATGAAAACTTCCTTAAAGCTCTCTGCTTTCCATCTGTTGTTTCACCCACTCACAGTTAAGCTGAAATCTTAATAAATACATTGTTAGCTTAATAAATGAGCAACAAATGGAAGCATTTCTATCAGTTCAATCATCGTCCAGTCGACTTAAACTGTGTCCAGACTTGGGGAAACACATGAAGCACGCTGTTTGAGGGCAGAGTAATGCAGATAAATGTAGTGAAGTAAAAAATACAGTATTTCCCTCTCAGATGTAGTGGAGTAGAAGTAGAAAGTTGCATGAAAAGAAAATACTCAAGTAAAGTACAAATACCTCTCATTTGTACTTCAGAACAGTGAGATTTAAAAAAATATATTTTTGTGGAAAAGTTACAAAATAGTTGCTAATTATGTTTCTGTTGAACTGACAGATTGTTTCACTTCTACTTAAGTCATGTCACTCACATTTGGAGTTCACTAATGCAGCTTTGCAGTGTTTGTGATCTAATTTAGGCACATTGTTCTGGACCTCTGTGTCACTATCCACATGTTTGATTTTTTTCAGGATTAGAAATTGATCTGGTGTTGTGCTCACTGTCAGCTGTTCACCCAAGAGAATCTTTTAAACGGGATTCAGAATGTCATCTTTCTACAGTACGTAGCTATTTAACATTAGTCATGAAAAATAGCAGAACAGAAACACGGTGACAAGCGTGGATGAAATCCTGCACCAATATTTCTCTATAAACAGCACTTACTAGGAAGATCTTTGACAGATTGAATCTATTGTTATATTT